CCGCCCGCCGTGCCCTACAGCTGGGCTTTAAGCCTGGAGGTTACCAGACCAGGATTTTTCTAAACAGCCTGAACTTGTCCCCCCCTCTGTGGGTAAACAGGCCAGGCAAGGGGGGCAGTTCGTCTGGGTCTGGAAAGGGCCCTTGCACACAAGGCTGCCGCAGAGGCCTGCAGGTCTGAGTGCCAGGAACGCCGATGCCCCATTCCCACCTCTGCATGTATAGCCAATAGCCCCTGCCAGCAGCTGGAGCCCTGGGCGAGGCTACAGACCACAGGGCTCAGGGCTATGGAAAATCCGCCCCTGCGCAGGGCCTGCTCCCCTGACCCACTTCCCGGCACCGGGTCGTGCTGTCGATGCCAGGGCCCGTCCTGGTTTCAGCGGTGCTGCGGCCAAGCCTCCCCCAGGGTGGGCGGGAGCATCTCCGCTAAGTGGCCCAGCCTGTCTACGCTCGCGGCGGTGCAACAGAGAGAAACCAGTGTAAGATCCCCCCTCCCCCATGCAGCTGTTGGGAGCTGAGACTTTTTGTCAGGATCAGCACTTGCAACTTTACCCCGAGTGTCCTGGAATGGGAGGCAATATGACGCATTCCCCCCGCCCCACTCGTTTCGGGCAGCCCTGCCGCCCTGTGGCCACGAGGAGCACTGTGGCCACGGCCACTAGCAGGCACTGCACTCTGGCCAGGCCGCGCTTGGCTGGGCGCAGAAACGAGCTGCCCTGAGACGGCTGCACTCTGAATGGTGCCGTAGTGATTCTCTGCTCGCTGTGGTCAATCCGCCGCCCACGGAGGTAGCACCGTCCACGAAATAAAACCTCTCGCAGCGGCCTAGCTCGGGGGTCAGACGTCTCTGAGGACTGGGCCTCACTTCTGCCTCCAAAGGAGCGTCGGTTGCAGACGTGGCTATAAAAACAGAGCTGCCTTTCAAAGCCTGATGTGCAGCGGCCTGGTCCCGCAGGCAGAGGGGAAAATTGCTGCCCCAGACCAATCGCTCTTGATTAGCAGCTTTCCTGTTCAAATGTCGCTAGGGGAGCACGAGACTTCCCAGTTGTGGGGTGGCTCAGATCCTACCAGGGTGGCACCTCCAGACCTCTGGGGCTTTAGCTGAGTTACTCCCAAGCCAGGAAAACCGGCGTCCAGCTGACGTGAGCCTTGGAAGAGAAGCAATGTTACTAGAAAGGTTCGACGTGCCCTGACATGCCCAACCAGCCTTTAACATCGCTGGCAAGCTAGCTGGGCCTGCCATCACCAAGCTGTACCCACGTGGACTGTGCCCAGGATTTCTGCCGTCTCTTGTGCTGAGACACCCTTCCGGCCCAATCGCTTGAGATGTGGCAACTATGAACCAGTTCGTACTTGCCATGTGCCAACCCAGAAACATGGTTCTTCCCTCGGGAAGCCATGGTGACTTGCAAAACTGTATGAGCCTTCTGGCTGAAAGGCACCAAGACACAAGGTGTCAAAGGAAGTCATGGCATGGAGAGAAAAACAAGAGGTAGTTTCCCAACAAACTGACTTTGTCCTGCTCATGTGGCATTTGATCCTTAGGCCAAGTCCACACACCAGGGGAAGGCTGGCTTAAGGGACGCAATTCCAGCTATGTAACAAAGGTAGCTGGAGTCAATGTGCCTTAAAACGAGCTTCGCTGCCGTCCTCACAGCAGGAGGTACATGGGTGAAACGCTCCCGTTGGCTTCCCTTCGTCCTCAGGAACTAAGGAGTACCAGTGCAGACGATTTACTAGACCCGCTAAAGCGAACGCCGGCAGATCAACCGCCGCAGTGCTGATCTTCCCGCAGGTGGAGATGTGGCCTTAGTCTTGTCGAAGCAAAAACACGCTCCTCTGTGTTTAGGCAGCTAACAAACAGCTTTATTAATTAATAAAGCACAGCATGAGCCAAACGTGGTCACAGCAGAGCCGGGCCCAGTAAAGCTGCTAATACAATCAATCCTAGTATCTCAGGGCATCCAATTACAGAAATCCTCAATTAAATTTGGAAACACAAAGCCTTATCAACAAGATGGCGGACAGGTGCGAGGGAGTACATCTCCTGTCCCAACCAGCCCAATTAACACATACCAATAGCCCATCCTGTAGGCCTCTTCTCACGGGGTGACAGAAAGTTCACTCTGGTCTACGTGCTTGAGAGAAAAGCTGAAATGGTTTCTGATATACAAGATGGCTTCTAGCTAAACATACAATAGCTTCTACAGTCTTCAGATGCAAATTAACCCTGACCAGCTCGGTGACTTCTCAAACCTCATGAATAAAGAGAAGCAGCAAGAGGAAGAAGTGATACCATTTTCAATTTGCTGCCTACGCAATGGAAAATAACAAAGTCATCGGGTGATTTTGATTGGGGAACAAAAAGTCCCTCAATGCCATTACTTGCCTGCTTTTTGCCCCGTCTTTTCATTTGCAACCAGTTTAAACTCCAGTGCCTTCTCCTTATGGAGCAATACTTCCTCGTTGCACAGAGGCTGATGGGCAGGAAAATTAAGACGCTACATCCCAGGCATGGAAAGTAGAGCCCACAGCGAGAGGCTGCAGCACCTGGAGGAGTTTCATGTTTCAGAAGAATGTGGCTTTGTTCTCCCAGACCCACTGGTAAGAGTTTCAGGATTCTTGTGTCACGTTAACGTTTTAACAGCACATTTGGTTGGGCCAGTTTTCAGACTGGAGCGAGGTAACTAGTGGTGGCCCCTGGGGGCTGAACTGGGACCAATCCTGTTCAACTTATTCTTGAATGATCTGGAAAAAGGGATAAATAGTGAGGTGGCAAAATTTGCAGATGATACTAAACTGCTCAAGACAGTGAAGTCTAATTGTAATGCACATTTACTGCTGCTTTCTGCATATGTATATAGCATCAGCATTGTGGCTGGATAATATTGTGGGTAAAGTATTGCATACAGCGAGCAAATAAGCACTCACTTCTGTACGTGTGATGTATTTATATTACAATGTACATTTATCAAATTAATGCTTAGCATTGTTATATCGTTTGTAAATTGCAAACTATTATTTACACACAATATGGAACGGTTCAGTAATTTTTGCTAATGAATATAAGCAAATCTTCCAGGAAGTCGCTTTGAAGCATGACCAAATAGACATTTTAGAGCATGATGCAATAGAAACAGCTATAAGTGTGGCTGGGGGCTCTTTTTGCTCCAAATAGCTCCAGGCTGAAGAAGCAATGGGATTTGCCATTTGCTACTGCTCCATTTTTAAGTCCTGAGCAATTTTGCTGTTACCCAGAGGTGTAAATTAGATTTATGCCTGACTATAGCTGTGTACGCATCTCTCCAAGAGTTCTAGACCCTGGTGATAGCCGAAGTAACAACAAACTGCTGTGTGCAAATGAGTTGAAGAGAAAGGGCAGTGATTTCATTAACTGTACGAGGGAGACTGCACTGATGGTGGGTTTCTTGGGCCAGCTGCCATGCCACTAAAAGCCGTGTAGCGTAGAAAGGAGAAAAACCTCAGCCGCATGGAGGCAATTGTGCATTGTGTACACGGGTGCGTTCCTTCCTGACCCCTGCAGGGGGCAGCCTGGGCCCTTAAACATGAGATTTGAGCGTAATCAGGAGCTCACTGCAGAGCTGTAAGCGCAACAAACCCATCGATGGCCTCGAGGAGAAGGCGATTGCTGACACTACCATGAGGAAAGGCGACTATGAATTTCCCTGTTCAGTCACATGCCAGGCCCAGCTCGACTCCCGCACACAGAGCTTGGATGCTTCATTCCAGCCACTGGCAGAATTTCTATCCTTAGAACATTTTAAATCAGCTCCACAGGCAGGAAAGTAAAAAGCCTAAAATACATCTCACTTCACGGTAGCTAAATAAACGAACTTCCAGGGATGAACTTCCACCCCCTCCCCGTCACTATTTAAATAGCTTCAACTTCCTGCCATTGGCTCCTGTTCAGGGGGGCTTGTCACCCTCTCTGTACGCTGGCCACCATTAGGGTGAACACGTTCATCGGTAAGGTGTTCGTTAGCCTTTCAGATGCCAGTCTCCTTGCTGTCTTTGCTGAAACAGACTCACACCGCTCCCTCTCTGAGACGTCTGTCCCTAGCGATCACCAATGCAGCAGGCCGGGGTTAAGAATCGGATGTTCTCTCTGGTTAACTAAATCAGCTGAGAGAGGACTTACACATCTTATGCCTGCCTCATTGTGGGGCTGGTTCTCCAGACCCAACATAAATCAGACTAAGGTGAGACTCCGCAGGTCTGTTCTGGTCACAACAGGCCACATTCTAATTTCACTCCGGAGAAAGTCTGTAGTGGATAGAGTGTAAAAATTGGAAGGAGGCCGAACATCTTCCACAAAGTCAGATCTGCCCTTGGAATCTAGCAATGGGCAAGGTGAGATACTGTATCTAGATGTTTTTAGCTTTTATGACATTTATTAGCATAAAAATTAAGTATTAAAAACAATTCATCCTATCATGAGAAATTACTTACATTGCTGACATTTTTTACTTAAAATACCTATGATGAATACACATTATACTTCATTGGAATTATACAACGAACTATTTAGGGATGCCACAAGTTTCTACAAAGACAAAATGTCCAGCAACCAGAGCAGAAACTTGGAAAGCTCATGAGCAAGCAACACAATTGTCAGTAAAACTATTTCTCTTAGCCCATGATGAAACGGTGCTTGAATCTATCAATCAGTCCGGTTTTTTCCATTGCAATACTTTATCTTTATTCTCTCTGCCCTTCCTTGTTATTTGTGCCTGTCCCATTCTGAAACCCCCGACAGAAGGGTTTTCATCATGCCACTAAGGGGGAAAACACCACATTATTTCTCCTAAAATTATATATTGAGCACAAAAGGGCAAACTTTCGGTGGAAGCAGCACCTCACTGTAGTATGAAATTTGAGCACATTTTGGGCTCCATTACGATCGATCGATATACAGGAGTAGTGCAACTTAGCCTCAGCTCTGGGCCTTCAACATGCTAAAAAGCACCATCAGAATGAGGGTGGTTTTTGAATGGGAGTTTCCCCATCAGCAAGTGAACAAAACTAGAAGGTTTCTGTTTTGCATGGCGCTTACGTAGCGTCTGAATCGGATGCACCTGCCAAGCATGATTGGGTGTCGTGTCTGTTCTCATGGCACCGGTCAAACCACATTGCCCACGCCTGGGGACCACTGCTGGACAAGCAAATAATCTCGCCTACCACATCGCAGATTGTTCTGATGCAAAGCAAACTGCTTCCGAAAGTCTCACTGTGCCTGCCCCAGCAGTTGCTCATCGCGCACTGCCAGGGGGAAGGAGCTGCAGAGGCAGAAAATGCAAATCCTATTAGATACACGCTGCCATTCCCTGCCCTCGGCTACTATTCTCTGTTGGATGGCCAGGGCGTGCGCTGGGCTCCCAGGAGCGTTCCTGGCACTCAGGGTTAGTGGCAGGACACTGCAGTTAAATCCCGCAGTTAGAAGCCCACGGCTGGCCCGTGCCGCTGCGTGGGGCCAAGGGGCTGTTGAATGGCAGTGTAGATGTTCAGCCTTGTGCTGCAGCCCCAGTTCTAGGCGGCTACTATTCTCTGTTGGATGGCCAGGGCGTGCGCTGGGCTCCCAGGAGCGTTCCTGGCACTCAGGGTTAGTGGCAGGACACTGCAGTTAAATCCCGCAGTTAGAAGCCCACGGCTGGCCCGTGCCGCTGCGTGGGGCCAAGGGGCTGTTGAATGGCAGTGTAGATGTTCAGCCTTGTGCTGCAGCCCCAGTTCTAGGCCCCGTCACGAGCCCTCAGCCTGTGCCCAGGGCAGCTGGCCAGGGCCAGCCACACATGCCCACTTGTTAGCACCAGAACAGCTGCGCTCCAAGCCTGAGGGTGCGTCTACACGGCACAGGCAGAAGCCGAGGAACCTGCCTCAGGAGGGTCTTGCCTGGTCTTCACGTGGCCAGAGAATGTACTGGCTGGGTGGCTCGTGGAACCCAGGGCGGGCAGAGCCCTCAGGAGGCACCGAGGCCAGCCCCTGCCCAGAGCAGGACCAGCCCAACTCAACCAGCCCAGCCAGGCCTTTGTGGAGCTGGGCCTTGCAAAAA